GTAAAAGCGATGCACCCAGAGGCCATACTCTTAAGTGAAATACATCAGACACGTGTAAATACCACATTTTCTGGTGTGAGAAACTGAAAGTGTAAGTAAGAACAAAAATATATAGTAGATACTATGAAATACAAAAAATGTTCAAATGGGAAAAGAAGCCAGTGATGGCGGGTGGGGTGGAGTATGGAGAAAGAGGGAAACAAAGCTTTTGTAAATGAGGGGAAGAGGGGTTGAAGGGAGGGTAAGGGTGGGGGAAAGCAGCAAGATATGTCATATACAGGATATAAATTTCCTATAATGTGATCAGTCTATATACCTAAAATGCACCAATAAACTTAATTACAAAAATAAAGTAAAAATTTATGATTCTTCTGGGATTGAAAAGGTGAAAGTAGATAAAGGACGAAAGAAATTCTAATGATTGGCCCTGTTCTCATTCTCAATTCAGATGGATGAGTTGGACCATGTAACCTGGTCTAGTTACCACTTCTCTTTTTAAAAAAATCATTTATTTATTTATGTGTTTATTTGGTACAGGATCTCAATATACAGCTCAAACTCATAGTGATCCTCCAGAGCCTCCCCAGCACTGAGACTGCAGGCCATGTGCCACCACCAGTTTTGGTGGGCAGCTTAGTGCTGGGCCTGTACAGCATGCAGTGAAGATCAAACCCTAGTGCTTCCCTTTGCCAAGAAGGTGCTTAGACTGCTGGGCTACCTCCCAGGCCCCTAGCTATCATTTCTTTATTTTATTTATTTCTAGCAGAACCGGGGATTGAACTCAGGCCCTTGCACTTGTCCAGCAAGCGCTTATTCAACTGAGCTGTCTCCCTAGCCTATCATTTCTTAAAGGGCAAAAGAAACTGGGATAGACTGGAGGAGCACCAAATGTTTCCAAAATACATGCCCTAAATAAAAAGGTGTTACAATGCTTCCCAAGAAGGAAGGATCAGGCACTCTGTCCTTTCTGTACATCATTTATAGACTTGCACAATACTTCTACTCTGCTGAGGTCCGTGTGTCTACAAGGTAGCAGCCCCTCAGAACCACTCCACACACCTCTCCAGAGCTGACATGGCTGCAGGACTTCTCACAGACCTCTTGGTACTTGTTCTAGAATATGTCAGCACATTGTTTTCATTATCTCATTTCTGCTTCAAAGGTCACTTGCTTTGCAAAGTCAAAAAAAACTTCCCTAACTTACCCAGGTGAAGCAAGTTAAGTGTGTTTACTGTGTGTGCCTCTACTTAAAAGTTGACTTTTTTTGGTACCAGGAACTGAACTCAGGTCTTTGTGCTTGCCAGCCAGGCGCTGTGCCACTGAGCTACATCCCTGGCCTCTAGGTCTACTTAGCTACTTATCTGTCTTGAAACAGAGTATTCTTCAAGGGTAGAGATTTTACTGCAGAGATTCTAAAAGCGTGGTTAGGGTTACCTTTGGAATCTCCAAAATAAAAACCAATTTTCACACTCATAAAATGGTGTAATTTGACTTTTTGGTCTCTTTCTTAAGTTTGGAGTCTCACTTTTTGGTGGCTACACAAGGCACGATGAAATCACTGACCCGATACCTAAAGGAATGTGCTCCTGGGAATGTTTAAATAGGTTCCTATCTTTTAAGATTTACAAAGGAGACTTGAGACCAAAAGGTTTGCAAACTATTAAAATCAATTCTGTCTTTTCAAGGAACCAAATGAGATTCACAGCAGGAACTTCAGCACTGCTGGTCACCAGCACTATAAAGCTCAAATACTCCACAGAGCCAGCAAAAAAAAAACATGGATGCGCAGAGAGCCCTCCCCATTCTACCACCCAGCCTCAAAGCAAGCTCTTTCCTCTGTATCGTGGCCAAACTGGTTTTGCTCCCCACGTGTGAATAACCTGCCTTTTTTGTTTCCGTGCTTTTGTTCTCAGTGTTCTACAGAAGGGAATACTTGCTCCCATCTGCTCAGTAACATTCTACACTTCCTTTCCGACATTCAGTTTAAATCCCACTTTCTTTGTGAAGTCTTCCTCAGTCTAAAATTACATGTATTCTTGTATTGTTGAAGTTATTCCTATGTACTGTGCTCCTTGACAAATTACATCTATTGCATCCCTCTAATAATTTTTACATATGATTTACAATACATGCATTATTAAAGCAAGAGGTACACATCAAATAAATAAAATACCTCACTTGGTAAAAGTCTCCCCCAAAAAAGACAATCTTGTATTATATGTAGTCTAATTAAAAAATCGTAATTTCTTTTGTGTGTGTGTGTGATACTGGTGACTGAATCTAAAGTCTATGCACTGAGCTTACACCCAAACTAATTTTGAATTCTGAGCCAAGGCTTTGCTGACTTACCCAGGCAGGGTTTGAACTTGTGACCTTCCTGCCTCAGCCTCTCAGGTTACTGGGAATACAGGCATGCAGCACCACACATAGCTATGCCAAATATTTAAATAAAACAGTATTACTACACAGTAAGAGACACACTGCCGGTATTGAGACCCTGTACCAAATACATTTTAAAAAGAGAGACATTGCTACTTAAACCTCCCAATCCTCCTCACTTTCAACAGCTTTCCCATCATTCTGGACCATTTTCCAAACCGTATCTACAAAAATGTCCTTAATTATGCTGTTATGGCTTCCTTAATGTCATGAGTCCATTCAAAATGTTTATTTTCATTTTGATTTAGGAAAGAGCCAGAAGTCACATGGCACCAGATCCAATAAAGCAGATGAGCACGCACTCTCATGTTTCCACGGATCTGCCTTTCCAAAGGATG